ATTTTTTTATTAGTATTGAATTATTTAAATACTTACATATTTCCAAATACTTGATAAGTCATGTCAGGATAAAATGCTACTTTTGGATCATTGATATCACTAGGTTTACGAACTTGAAAATAAAAATAAATATTAGGTTTATAAATTATAGAAAACAACATTTAACATAAGCTTTTTTTTTATTTGCATTATAATTACCTAGCTTAAGTTCTAATGCACTATTACTGCTTACAATATATTGTTCCATTGTGATAAAAGATTAGTGTGATCAATAAACCTGGAATAAATATAATAAAGCATACAAGATTACATCCAATGTATTATATTAAAATCGACAATCCATACATAGGTGGTGTGGCCATAATTGTATATGTCCAAAACGGGRACATTTTCTGAATTGTTTTTAAGAATTACCAATGACTAACAGATAAAATTATAAAGCACTTATTAATTAGGTAGTTATTACACTATTTAATTGTAATTCAAATTTTTGATATATTTATAGTAAAATATATTTTCAAATTACTATACTATTTATAAAACTTATTAAACATAGTAATACATAGCAAGTATTTATGATATAATTWATATAATTTTTGATTAAATAATTTAAAAAATGTACTTAGGTACATAACGAAGTAAAAAGTATTATAATATTGAATTTTTGTAAATTCCGAATAAAAGCCGAGCAATTAGAAAGGGGCATGCATAATTCAAAAGTGAGACAATCTCCCTCCTAAAGTGAAATATATAGTGACACTTAATTCATTAAAAYTGGATATCTAACAATTATACTAAAATCAATTGCTAATAGATGAGAATAAAAATTCACTTTTACTTAAATTAATGTAAATATATAATAAATATAAGATAGAAAAAAAACAAATTTGTGCATGACATAAAAAATAAAGAGTATAGGAAAAACAGTCATGTGAATGAAGGCAGTTGACATGTTAATGTCAGCAAAGCCATTAAAAAAGTATGCAAAGTTTAAGCAAAATAATTTGCACAAAATGTTCCACATTTTTAAGTATTAATCAAGTATTTTTAATGATATCAAATATAACTACAATATAGAAATAATTAAAAGTAGAATATCGATTATTGTTGGTTAGACACTAATTTCTACAGACTATTACTGATTTAATTGAGTTTTGTTACAATACTGAAAAAATAATTTAAGGTACGTACCTACCAGTTAATTATTAAATATTTAAAAATGGGCATGACTATTAAATAGGCACAGTTAAAAGTAGAATCTAACAACTATTTTTATAGGTTAGAAATTTATTGAATAGCGCCTTATAACTTTTGAGTAGATAATTAACAAGGAAGTAGTGAYTAAGTGATTATTGAAGTTTCAATTCTTATATTTAGTTCTATAATGGAAAAGTGTACAAATATAAAAGAGTAAGCACACCACACACTCTGTGGTAGCAGTAAATGGCGTCAGCTTACATTTTATGCTACCGCTATACGGTGTGTGGACACCTTAAAGCAATTACTTGTCACTAAATTAATATCTCTCTCCTGAAGAAATGCCACATACCYATTCACAATTGTAAGAGTGAAATTTTAAATTCTCTTGAACATTCTAGTGGAGATCCCAAGCCGATGACTACTCATTAATCTTATTATAGAAAATAAGACACATATAGCCACATTGTATTTTTTGCCCAAAACCAAAGTCAGTAATTTCTAGTAAGTACTTACCTATATAAACGAGTAGACAATTCAGAAAAGGCTAAAAATAGGTGGCAGACCAAAACCGCTATTAGCAATGACGTGAAAATGACAGCAGCTGCCTACTMACCAGAACTTAATTCTGCTAGAATATCACTTAACAGACGCCAACGATGACAGTGAAAAGAAAAGAATAAATAAAAATTTGGCGGTTCCTGWACGCCAGACAATAGTCGAGCATCGATACCCCACTCACAAAACACGGTGTTATCTCAAACAGGGTTTCCAAAAGGTAAATTCCTCGCTAGGCGGCACCAGTCTTTGAGGAGCGTCAGGGTTGCCGTTTCGGCGATGCTTAACCACCGAACCACCATTTTTACTGTAAATCGCCCAATAAATTGCTTACCTTTCCCGCGGCGGCAGACTAGCGGTGTTATCTCGCTATTATCGTTATCATTTGTGTTTTTATTATTTTTTTGAAAAATCTAAGTTTCTAAGGTTTCTACCACAGAGCACAGACTTCTACAATAGACTTCTATATTTCTAGTTTTCTACACCGGTTTCTGACTTTCCAAACGTTTGAATGAAGAAAGAAAACATTTACTCATAAGGCATTCACAGATATCAACTGGAAATTCTGTTTCTTCATCATTAAGAAAATTTGCCATGACACTACACATTTATTCACCTTCTGCTTATGCTTATGTTTGAACAAAATTCAGTAAAGCTCATTACCTTATGTCAGTACTTTAAGAAAATAGTACAAAAAACTGGTTTACCTTGTCCAACTTAAGATGTTGTTTAATCTCATTGGTAAAGAATTACGTGTGTGTTTAATAGTGAACGAAAGAGTATCAAGCAACATGTATACTAGATTGGCACAAGTAATCAGAGATATAAAAATAGATATTACTAGTTGTGTAGTTCTTAAAATCAAAAATGCTATTTTTATATGAGCTATGTGATGTTAAGTTGAA